GCCATTTTGTAGCTTGTTAGTTGAATGCCCCAGAACTCACAATTTGTAAGACTGTAACACAGGGAAGAATTAATAAACACTGAACAGCAAACTTGAGAAACAATCTCTCCTGCTCCTTTCACCCTGATCCTAACAATAAAGAAAAGAAAATAAGAACACAACAGCAAACCTGATCTCCTTTGATGACCAGATGACCGGCCCAGCGGATGAGGGGGGAGGCTGTGGAAGTGTCTGCCTGGACTTCACCAAAGCCTCTGGCACAGTGTCCCACAGCATTGTCCTGGAAAAGCTGCCAGCCCAGGCCTTGGAGAGGTGCTCTCCTGGCTGCCTCAGGAGCTGTCTGCATGTCCAGGCCCAGAGAGCCTTGGTGAACAGTGCCACATCCAGCTGGCGTCCGGCCACAAGCGCTGTCCCCAGGGACCCGTGTGGGGCCCGGTCCCGTTGAAGATCTTTCCTGACGATCTGGATGAGGGGATGCAGTGAACTCTCAGCAAGATCACACATGATGCCAAGTTTGGTGGGAGACTCAGTTGCTGGAGGGCAGGAAGGCTCTGCAGAGGGATCTGGACAGGCTGGATCCACGGGCCGAGGCCACCTCTGCAGGCAGTGCAGAGCAAGGCCATGGAGCTGCTGAAGGCCCTGCAGGGAAAGGCCTGTGAGGAGCAGCTGAGGCAGCTGGGCTTCTTTAGCCCAGACATGGGGGCTCTGAGAGATCATTTCTCCCTGCAGCTCCCTGAAAAGGGGGTGTAGCCAGGTGGGGATCAGCCTTTTCTGCTGGACAGCCAGGGAGACAATGAGAGGGCAAGGCCTCAAGCTGCAGCAGGGGAGATTCTGGTGGCACATCAGGAGGAATTTCTTCACATAAAGGGTGATTCAAGATTGCAATGGACTGCCTGTGGATGTGGTGGAATCCCAGTTCCTGGAGACTGGATGTGGCACTCAGTGCCATGGTCCTCTTGAGCAGGTGGTGTTTGCTCAAAGGTTGGACTCCACGATCCCAGAGGCCTTTTCCAAGAGAAAGAATTCTGTGCTTCTCCCAGGAAGCCAGCTTGGAGCTGAGCAGAGGGCTGCCCCAGCTCCACAAGCATGCTGCCAGGCACCTTTCATCTGGCATGGCCTCTGCTTTCTGCTGAGCCTGCTGTGACTGGGCAGTAGGGATGGAGCCCTTTGCTGAGCCCAGAGCTGCTCCATGCCCACGGTGAGGTGGGAAGCACCTGAGTTCCCTGGGAAGGTGCAGCTGCAGTGCCATGGCAGGGTAATTTTGCAGTTTGCTCTTTGTCTGCCCATCTTTGGGGAGAGCTCTGGACTCCAGTGTGTCACAGGGATTTTAGTCACTACGGAAAAATTATTTTTGCTGGGAATTGTGAGGAGACATTGTGACCTCAAGCCACTTCACTGCAAAGTGTTGGATCAGGCAGTTGGCTTAGGCCTTTTCCATTAACACCAAGGGTTCACTTTCTGTGGACTGAGTATGTTGCCATGTGTTGTCCCAAAAGAGAAGAGAATTAGGAGAATCCATAAAACAGGAGAATCAAGACAGTGACATCTTCTGGCCTCAAATTGATAGATCAGCTGGGCCAAGCTCCTTTGGTCCATCCAGAAACCAAACCTTCCTGTTAGGCAACTTTTATAAGGTTGCATTTTAAGCTTGCACCTCTGATTTCTGAGGAACTGCTTATCTGTTCTATATCTGGGTTGGTTTCTCTTACACTCCCTACAATGAGGTCCTCACTTCCTGTACCTGGGCAAAATGTCCCTTGCTGATGGGCAACAGCACTTTGGCACAGGAATATCAGCCAAGAAGCCCTGGGGGTCAGGTCAGGAGGTGTTCAGGAATGCTGCTGCACAAGTGCTGTGCCACACACGTGAAGATGCTGCAGAGAACATTCTGGACAACCTGCTCTAGCTGATCCTGCTGCAGCCTGGAGTCTGGGCTAGAAGGTCCCGAGAAGTCCCTCCAAACCACAACAATTCAGTGATTCTCTGATCCTGGCACATGCTTTTGTTTGCTTGCTTTTGAAACTGCACCTTGAGAGCGGCAGCTGTTGTATCAGACAGGCAGGCTTTGGCATCAGATCCATGGAGAGCTTGGAGCAGCCAAAGCTGAATTCCTGTGCTGCACTCCTTGGACACCTTCATGCTCTGCTCTGCTTCTGAAGCTTTTCTGCAGCTTGATGGGAAACTGATTTGGGGAAATGTATTCAATGGTTGTCAAAGATCAATGTGTGCCCCATCATGGATTTTGCAAGAGCTTACAATAAAAGGGATTTGCTGCAGTGCTGGATTGCAGTGTCATGTCTTCTATAAACCACAAATTGCTTCCCACTGAAATTTCTACAACCACCAGTAAAGTCAGAGTGCCCAGAGCATCCTTGCAGGACATTGGGTGTGCAAATGCAATCAGAGGATGCCAGAACACCCAGACAAGTGTCAGCATCAGACACCAGTTATTCTCCTGTGAATGGCATGAACAAAGTGGGCCAGCCTGCCAACAGCTCTTATGAGACACCTCCATTGATCCAGGAACAAGATTCCCAACTTTGATGTCCCAAACTTTGATGATCCTTTGGGGGTTGGGGTCATTGCATTGAACAGTTCAATGGGTTCTGTGAAGTCAGGATTATGTGGCATTGCCCCACTTTTGCCCTGGGAGTGGTTTTACACTGGGTCATGCAGCACTGTGGAGCTTGGGGACACTTTGGGGGTCTTTGATGGTTTATGGCCCCTTCTAATGATGTGACCACTGTTGGGCCCTGCTTGGTTCTGTCAGTTGGGCCCCATCAGAAAGGAGGGATTTGCCCCACCTCCAGCTGATCTGCTTCTTCTTGGCCTTCTCCCTCATTCTGACTAAACCCCACTTTGTTTAAGACATCAGTCTCAGGTTAACAAAGACAAACGAAACCACAGGATTCAACCAGTTTCTTTAAACCAACTTTGGTCACACACAATTCTTCTGGATATTTCTGGTTGTAACAACCAACTCGTCATTCTATTATTCCTGGACTTTTGGAAACAGAAGAAAATGAGTCCAGTTTAGCTGTAAATGAATGAATGGCCATTGAAACACAGAATATTTTGGTTTGGAAAGGACCTTAATGACCAGCTACATCCATGCCCTCCCATAGGCAGGGACACCTTCCACTATCCCAGGTTGCTCCAAGCCCCAGCCAGCCTGGCCATGGACATTTGCAGGCATGGGTCAGGCTCAGCTTCTGTGGGCAACCTGTGCTGGGGCATCACCTCCCCACAGTCACAAATATTGTCCTAATATCCAGTCTAAACCTTCACTCCTTCCATTCCAAGCCCTTTCAGCTTGTCCCAAAGGTGTGGTTTAACCCCAGGCAGCAGCCACGCCCCACGCAGCCGCTCCCTCCCTCCCTCCCCGACCACCGGGAGCAGGGAGAGAACTGGAAGGGGAAAAGCTGGAACACTCCTGGGTGGAGATAGAGACAGTTTAACAGGGAAAGCAAAGGCTGTGCACACAAGCAAAGCACATCAAGGAATTCCTTCACCATTTCCCATGGATAGAAAGGTCTTCAGCCACCTCCAGGGGAGCAGGGCCCCATCCCAGCTACCAGCTACCTGGGAAGACAAAACCCAGCTACAAACCCCACCACTCCAAATGCCCCCTCCTTCCTCCTCCTTCCCCTCACTTTATATTCTCAGCACGATGTCCCATGCTCTGGAATATGCTCTGGTCAGTTGGGCTCACCTGTCCTGGCTGTGTCTCCTCCCAAGCTCCCAAGTACCCCCAGCCTCCTTGCCAGCCTGGCACTACAAAAAGCACAAAAGGCTTTGGCCTGTGAAAGCTCTGCCCAGCAATACCAGAAACATCTCTGTGTTATCAACTCTGTGTTCAGCACAACTCCAAAACACAGCCCCACACCTGCCACTGTCAAAAACATAAATCCTGAACCCAGCACACCTATCAGCTCCAAGCCCTTGTGCAAAGTCTGTCTGCAGCTCTCCTGTAGACTCCTAAAGTACTTGCAGGTGCTCTGAGGTATCCCCAGAGCCTTCTCCTTCCCAGGCTGCTGGGATGGAGCTGTCACACAGCCATGGCAACCAGGCAAGAGAGTATGTGTAGCCTGGACATGGGCATGATGTTCTGGGAGGCTGCAGAAGGACAGAGTGTGAATATCTGAGTGTATCAGAGTCAGGCCAGTCCATCCAATGTCCCCAGAGCTGTTCTGTGGGGAGCAGAAACACGTGTAGGTGCTGGAGCAGCAGCAGCTGCAGCTGGTGGCATTGAGGAAATGATCAAGGAAGCCACTAGACCCTGTTAGCTGATCCTGACACATCATGCTGCAAGGCAGCAAATTTGAGAGGAAGTCTGGGGAAACTAAAACAATGTCAAGCACTTTCAGGGGGAGTACGAACAAACTCTGTAAATAAAAATGGAAAACTTCTCCTTTTTGTGGAATTCCCTATTTAAAACAAGGAGCAAATTTATGCCTGGTTGTACATTCAGTGGCTCTCCTGAGGATTCCAACTCTCCTTTCTCCAGGGAGAAGACGGAAGGAATGGTTCAGCTGCCTCTTCTGGGACCCTGCTTCAAGGTAAGGGCTTGCTCCTTCCTCAACAATGCCTCCAATATTCAAAGTCTTTCCTGAGTTTTGGAATAAATACACATAGGCAAACCCTAGCCTGGAGTTGCTGAGCTCCAAGAGCAATCAGAGCTTATGCATGCACTGAATTCAGGAGGGCAAGGACAGAGGAAATGATTTGGGAAAGAAACTCAATCCAGCTCACCTGAAAATTAACGACTTTTGAATTAATCTGAAAATTAATCTGAAAACTAACAAAGGGTTGAATAAGAAGAATGGGGGAGACTATTCAGTACGGAAACTCCACCCATGACCTTGCAAAGAAACTCTGGACAAACAGAGGTGTGGTCTGAATTCCCAGGAAAATTTACTCAAAAGGCTTCTTGGGAAATCTACCTGCCTCTTCCTAGAGAGTATATAAACCCAGAGAGCCTGAGACTGCAGCAGAGGCATTTGAGACTCCTCTGCCACTTTGGGGCTGTGAGCAGAATCCTGTGCCACTCCTTCTCAAGGTAGGCTGTTTTCTATGAATCTGTTATATTAGATATTACCTTAGTTAGATTTATTTCAATCTCATGGAGTGGGTCATGCAGAAGGACTTTTCAGACCCTTCTCTGCTTGATTTGGGGCAGCTTTGGGAATGCTCTGCAGAGCACTGTAAAATTCCTGACTTGTAGTTGCAGTTCTCAGTTTCCAGCTCATTGGTCACCACATTCCTGATCCAGGGCTGGAAAAGAGAAAAAGGACCAGATATCTTGGGTCAGAGCAGGGCTGTGTGCAGCTCAGCATCCTGAATCCAGTGGAAATGGAGAGATGAGGGGCAGGGAGAAGAAGAAGACAAGGGCAAAGGTGCAAGGTGACTTGTGAAGCCTTCATCTGTCCTGAGCTCAGCCCCTTGCCAGCCCAAGGTGGGCTTTGTGCTTTAGAGGCTGTGGCAGCTTTGTCTGCCAGGAACCCTTTGAACTGCCTGTCCCAGCTGCCTTATTGCAAATGCTGATGATATTAAATCTCCCCAATGAGTGTCCAGCAATGCAAGGGGAAGCATCCCTGCTCTCCCAAACCTCAGCTGCCTCTGGAAGGAGACAAAGCCACCCCTTGCTTGCTTGCCATCATCCCAGGGAGCTTGTCAGCAGTTTTCTCATAAAGGAATGACCTTACTGACTGCTGAAAATCACATCAGCACTGAGAAAAACAAAACAGGACAGGTTGCTGTCCAAGAAATTCCTGCCATGCTGCCTTTACCTGTACAGGGAAATCAATCAGCAAAGCTGAAGCTGGGCACCAGCAGGAATCCCAAGCAAGCAGGGCAAGAGCTGCCCCTCAGGGCTTGCACTGCAGCAGCCATTGTGCTGCTAAGATAGAGGGGTTATCCCTCATGCTTGCTGCTGCCATCTGCTTGGCCCCTTCCTTTGCTCTCTGCATGTGTCTGCAAGTTCAGAGTCTGGGCTTGGATAAGGTGGAAATGGAAGGTGAGCAGCAGGAGAGCCATGGCCCAATGTCAGCTGAGAGGCAGGAGCCCAGGTGGATGATTTGGGGTTCAGTATTGGGTCTGAGTGGAAGAGCTGAGTGTCTGTGTGAACCTGGATGGGCCCAGAGAGCTGTAGGAAGTGCAGCACTGCTGTTCTTTGCCTGCCCAATGCCCCATGAGATTAAAGCCCAGCTCAGCATGGCAGGGGCTGAGCAGAGTCCATGCCCAGGTGCAGGTGTCTGCTGTGGGAAGGAGCTGAGAGCAGGAGGGAGGTGGGCAAAGGTGACCTTGTCCCAGGGCTGTGCCTCAGTTACAAGATCACTTGGCTGTGAGAGCTGATTGCAGTCCTGGTGGCTTTGGTTCCTTGCTCCTACAGGCTGAGTGCTCCCACTGCTGCCTCCTCTGGGCACCTAAACCCTGTTTTAGCTTTCACCCTTATTGCCCTTGTGGTTTTTCCATATGGAGGAGGACAGAAATTACTCCTTTCCTGGTCTCTCACAATCCTCTCCTCTGCCAGCTGTGTCCCCCTGTACCAAAGGCTGCAGGCCATGACCTGCTCTCTCCCAGCTGAGTGTCCCTCTGCATTTGCCTTCCAGGGGAGCAAGAGCCCTTCACTGAAATCCTGCCACCATGCTGGGGCTGCTGCTGCTGCTGCAGGTGTTGGCCAGCTGCCTGTGGCTGGGACACAGCGAGGTGCTGAACTCCTTTGATAATTGTCTTCAGTTCTTCTATGCGGGGACCATTCCAAATGATGCCCTGAACCCAAAGAAGCCAGCCTGGATCTGTCAGCGCTTCAGGAACGCGTATCACTATGCCACCCTGTACGACAGAGACGGGAGAATCCCTGTCTACTCTGCTTACATCTACCACCCTGTTCCGGGCAAAAGACCTAAATCATGGTTTGTTGAGCCTCAGGTGGGTGTCTCTCTTACACCACATCACATCACCCTCCAGCCACTCAGAGATGAGCTGTAGCATTTAAATAACCACTCCTATTTCCTTCTACCCCTCTAAACACACGCGAATGGACACACAGATGGGAATGTCCTCATTTTACTTCAAACCCCTGCACCACATGGTTCCTCTGATGCCCCTGAGACATCAGCAGGATCATGAGATGAATCACATCCCCAAGGTGCCCAGCTCTCTGCCTTCACCTGACAGGAACAGCAAATCCCATTACTTGGCATGACATGACAAAGTCAAATGCTTCCCCTACCTGTGCCCTGCTGTGCTGGGTGCCCAAGTGATGGGGAAAAGGCTTCCAGGAGAGGCTAAACTTGAGGGACCAACAGTCCTGCTGGGATCTGATCCCCACTTTGCCCTCAGCAGTTCTGCATCCCTGACAGAGCTTATCTGCTCTCAGTGAAGTGTTAAACAGGCTTTCTGATTGGTATTTGAGAAGAAATATGAGAAACTCAGAAGGGGGTAAGATGGCCCAGAGACAAAGCCTGGAGGGAAAAGGCACTGGAGATGTGAGGGCCAGGTTAACTGTGCAGGGATTTCTGGAGTGACATTTCTGGCACTGCAAAGTGAGGAGCATCAGTGTTGGTCCAGTCACAAGGGTGTGATCTCCATGCATGGGCAGTGACCCCGAGCACCTTTGGCTCAGGCTTGGTCCAGAAGGATCCAGCAGACAGGCAGAACTGCACAAGCTCTAGAGCCCTCACAAATGTCCTTCAGACAAACTTCAGCAGAACAGGCCAATTGCAGAAGAGAAAAAGAAGCAATTCCTGTCATTGGTAAGGACAGAGTGGCAGGACAGCATTGGGGGAAGGTGAACAAGAGAAGGAAGCCCCATGCCCTATTCCAAAGAAAGGCTAAAATATGTTTCTCTAAAGATGAACCAAATGTTGTTAAAGTTATGAAAAGAATCATCTTTTCATCTTATGCATAGGAACTCAAGCAGCTAATCTGGTGTTGCACCACTGCAGCCTCCACATTCTCTCTTTTTGGAGCATCATAGAATGGTTTGTGTTGGAAGGAACCTTAAAGACCATCTCAGTCCAGCTCCCCTGCATGGGCCAGGCCACTTGCCACTAGACCTGCATGCTCCAAGGCCTATCCAACCTGCCATTTTCCTCCTGGACCTTGGACCCTGGCCTTCCAAAAAACCTTGGATTTTGTTGATTTTCTCCTGAGCCCTTTTTGGAGAATTTCCTTTCCCCAGGACTCTTTTGGGATTACAGGCTCCTCTCAGAGGCTGATCATTTGTAACTTCTTTGCAGTGATGCTGCAGAAAATTCTCCCTGGCCCAGATCAGCTCTGAGACACATTCCCAGCACTGCTGGAACAGATTCCATTCACAGTGAGATCTTTTTGCTTACTGAGCAAAACTGTTCCTCCTTGAATGAACTGTAGCCCTCCCAGGGAAACCTCAGCTCCAGGACTGATTTCCTGACACTTCTCCTTGTGGATGGGGTTACAGGAGGCAAGCTCTGGTGTTCCAGGACAGGGGTACACCTGTAGCAACCCCACATAAAATCACAGAATCACAGTGTGGTGTGAGGGGATCCAGGGAGAGCCCAGGGCAGATTTGGGCTGTGGTAGCAGGAGGAAAGGGAAATAGATTTGAATCACCAAAGTCACCTTTCAATCCTAGGAGTGGGAAATGCTCCTTGTCTCGTGCATCCAACCATGCTCCCAGCACGGGCTGCAGGCTGGATCACAAAGGTCACAAGTCAAACTCAGAGCAGTCCGAATCTGACCTACTTCCTCTTTAAAGCTTTTGTGTTCATGTGGGTTGGTCCATGTGTATGATTTCTCTCAGATTCATATATTTTCATACATTCAGTTGAGAAAAAGTGGGATCTTGACCCTCAGAGACTTCTCCTCCAGGGGAACTTGGTCCATTACTCCCATTCCCCATTCTAACACCTCTTTCTTTTTCCCTGTCCAGCTCACAGGTAAAAGTAATCTCAAAGAGATGGAATCAGAGAAACGCCTCATAGATCAATACAAAATCTCTGCAGAAGATATCAAAGAGAGCCAGGCTGTATGCGATGACTACAGAGAACTGAAGGGTTTGGACCGTGGCCATTTGAATCCCAGTGGCCATATGGATAACGATGTGAGTAAAATGGCCACCTTCACCCTGACCAACATAGTGCCCCAGGACAGCGATCTCAACGATAGACAGTGGAGGGTCTACGAGGATATAAAAATGATTGAAAAGACCAAGGGCTGTACAACCACCTACGTGATCACGGGTGCTGTGCCTGGGAAGAATTCCGTGTCCAACGGGAGGGTGAACAGACCCAGCCACATCTGGTCAGCTGCCTGCTGCCTGGAGAACGAAAAGCCTGCAAAGGCTTGGGGGGCCATTGCTGAGAATGACAAGAACCAGGTGGAGGAGCTGAGCCTGGGGAAGCTGGAGGAGAAGTTGACTGAGCTCTATGGTAAAACAGTTACCTTGTTCAACAACGCCTGTCCCCGGCAATAAGCCTCACATCGTCATTAGAATAGGCTCGGTGGCTTTTCCCACAAGTCACAGAATCACAGAATCACAGAGTGGGTTGGTTTTGATGGGACCTTAAAGCCTTAAAGATCATCTCATTCTCACCTGTCTGCCATGGGCAGGGACACCTTCCACTACACCACCTTGTTCCAAGCCCTCCCCAGCCTGGCCTTGAAGCCCTCCAGGGATGGGGCAGTCAAAACAGCTCTGGGTAACTTTTACTCATAGCACAGCCTGCTCAGGGTGATTCACTTCTTTATAATATCCCATCTAACCCTGCCCTCCATCAGTGTGAAACCATTCCCTCCTGTCCTGTCCCTCCATACCCTTGTCCAAAGACCCTCTCCAGCCCTCCTGGAGATCCTTGAGGTACTGGACCCTCAGCAGTCTTGTCCAGGCTGAACATGCCCAGCTCTCTCAGCCTCTCTCCAGAGCAGACCTGCTCCAGCCCTTGGAGCACCTTCATGGCCTCCACTGGACTCCACTCCACCAGCTTTGTATCCTTCTTGTGCTGTGGGCCCAGAGCTGGAGGCAGCAGTGCAGGTGGGGCTTGAGCAGAGCAGAGGAGAGGGGGACAAATGTCCTGGGCAGAGGCTGTGCTGCTTCCTTCTCTGGTGTGTTTCCAGCTGTGTCCCTCAGGGCACCTCCTGCTCTGCTCAAAGGCACAAAGATGTGGGCAGAGCCTGCAGCTGCTTTGCTTTTCTGCCCATGTCAGGAGAGAGCTCTGAGGAACGAGTCCTCTCCTCCTCAGCTGTCCCCAAGAGTGTGCAGCTGACTTGTCCCTCACCTCCTTAGCAAAGCTGTGGCGCCAGGGCACCTCAGGGTGCCCAGAGATCCTGCCTGGAGATCTCCATGTCTGGAGATACCCAAAGCCCAACAATACATGATTCTGGACAACCTGCTCTAGCTGATCCTGCTGCAGCCTGGAGTCTGGACTAGAAGGTCCTGAGAAGTCCCTCCAAACCACAACAATTCAGTGATTCTCTGATCCTGGCACATGCTTTTGTTTGCTTGCTTTTGGAACTGCACCTTGAGAGCAGCAGCTGTTGTATCAGACAGGCAGGCTTTGGCATCAGGTCCATAGAGAGCTTGGAGCAGCCAAAGCTGAATTCCTGTGCTGCACTCCTTGGACACCTTCATGCTCTGCTCTGCTTCTGAAGCTTTTCTGCAGCTTGATGGGAAACTGATTTGGGGAAATGTATTCAATGGTTGTCAAAGATCAATGTGTGCCCCATCATGGATTTTGCAAGAGCTTACAATAAAAGGGATTTGCAGCAGTGCTGGATTGCAGTGTCATGTCTTCTATAAACCACAGGTTGCTTCCCACTGACATTTCTACATCCAGCAGTAAAGTCAGGGTTCCCAGAGCATCCTTGCAGGACATTGGGTGTGCAAATGCAATCAGAGGATGCCGGAAGACCCAGACAAGTGTCAGCATCAGACACCAGTTATTCTCCTGTGAATGGCATGAACAAAGTGGGCCAGCCTGCCAACAGCTCATGCAAGCTGTGTCACTTTCAGAGGTGCCAGCTTGGGGCTGGACATCTCAGCTCAGGAGCTGTTGTTCCTTGTCCTGCTGGGTCTCACTGCTCAGCCAGGACCAACCTGTTTGGGGGCTGCAGTCAGACACAGGTTGTGGTGGGTGTGCAGAGTGAGGCAGCCCCATGCAGGTGTCTCCAGGTGTGCTGGTGTCCCAGCTGTGACGGCAGCCAGCAGAGCTCCAGGCCTGCCTCAGCTGCATAAAGAGCTGCAGCCTGGGCCCCTGCAGCTGCCCTGAGCTTTGGAGAGCCCCAGTGGGGCTGGCTGATGTGCTGCAGGATCCTGGGCAACAGGCACCCCCAGCTGGGCCAGCAGCCAGAGGCCAGGCCCATTCCCCAGGGGCAGCTCTGGGGGCTCTGCACAGCTGAGCACAGGCACCAGATGCCAGGGCAGACATGGGGCACGGCCTGGGAGCACCATGGAGTTCTGCTCCTCTTGCCTCCAGCTGCCATGGGCACAGCAGCAAGAGCCCTGCCTTGTGCCAGCGGGGCTGCACACACCCCTAGGAGAAGATCTTGCTTTTAGGAGAGCAAAGTGAGCACATCACTCTCACTGCCTTTGCTGGACAGCTCCTGCCGTGCCAGCTCCTCTGCCTGGATGGATTTTTTCTGCTGGGATCAAATGCTGCCACAGCCCCTGCTGGGATGAAAGCATCAGAGTGATTTCAGGCTGAGGCCCCTGTGCAGACACCTCTGCTGTACCTCAGGCTATGGCTCCCTCTGACTTGCTCACCCACCTCTGCACACTGGCTGGGGCTTGGGACCACACTCATCCTCACCATTACTCATGCCATGTCTCAGTGCCCTTGATTTCCATGCTCTGGAACCAGTGGCTGCTTGATCCTCTCCATCAGTCTCTCCTTTATTAACTTCCATGGCTTTTTCCAGGACCTTTACCCTTGGCAGTACCCAGAAATGCTTCACAGGAAGCATTTGAAACACTTGGAAAGCCCAAGAGAGAAAGGAGTCATCCGAGTCACTTCAAAATCCCCTTTCTCCAGTACTGCAATCACAACAGAGTTTACGTTTCCCTGCATTCGCTTGATTTATTTCTTGGGGAAAAAATTTCAGCCTAGTCACCTTGAGAACTAACCTCAAAAATTTAATTAGAAGGGCCTGCTAGCATTGTGAATACCACAACCCCTCCCAGACAGTGCAAATTTCCTCTGGACAAACACAAATACTGGCATAGCTCCTGGACAAACTCAGGCAAAACCCTATTTGGGAAATCCCACTCATCTTCCTTCCTGGAGATCCTCCAAAAATAACCATTGTCAGACTGCAGCAGAGGCATTAGAGAGTCCTCTGCCACTCTGGCAGCAATGCCCTGCCTTCCACAGCAGGAGGTGAAATACTTGGAAAACACAAAATAAAGCATCAGCCTGGTTGCTGTGTTCCCCCAGGCTTTAGAGGTGCTTCTCCCAGGAAGCCAGCTTGGAGCTGAGCAGAGGGCTGCCCCAGCTCCACAAGCATGCTGCCAGGCACCTTTCATCTGGCATGGCCTCTGCTTTCTGCTGAGCCTGCTGTGACTGGGCAGTAGGGATGGAGCCCTTTGCTGAGCCCAGAGCTGCTCCATGCCCACGGTGAGGTGGGAAGCACCTGAGTTCCCTGGGAAGGTGCAGCTGCACTGCCATGGCAGGGTAATTTTGCAGTTTGCTCTGTGTCTGTGCATCTTTGGGGAGAGCTCTGGGCTCCAGTGTGTCACAGGGATTTCTGTCACTTGGGAAAAATTATTTTTGCTGGGAATTGTGAGGAGACACTGCCACCTCAACCCGCTTCACTGCACAGTGTTGGATCATGCAGCTGGCTTAGGCCTTTTCCAGTAAAAGCAAGGGCTCAGATTGCATTAAATGAACTTTCCATTTGTCAAGTTCTGTTCTGGAGGAGAAGGAAACAAGAAAATGAAGACATTGGCATAACCTGGCCTCTGCTGGGCAAAACTCCTTTGGTCCACCCAGGAGTATCTTTGGCTGCTCATTGGGAAGGCAGCCTGGGAGTTGCTTCCTGGTGCTTTGCCATCCCCTGGGCAAAGCAGATTCCATCTCCCTCTCCTGGGTTGGACACACAGGAGCTACCAGATCTCTCTCATGTAGGCAGCAAATGTACTGTGTGTGGTTCTGGATGAAACATGTTCTGTTTGTGGCACTGGCCAGGTCAATCTCCAGCTGCTCTTCAAGGGAAAATGCCCAGCTCTTCATCTCACCCTGCAGGGAGAGGCTTTTTCCTGGCAACTGATGACCAAAGGCATGAGGGTCATTCCTGAGTCTCACAGGAGATCCTGCTGGGAGTTTCATGTCTTAAATTAAATGCTTATCTAGAAAAAGGAAAGATAAGACTACTTTCACTAGTCTAAGTGCTTTATCTTGCTGGGAGCTTTTAGAAGAGAGGACAGTTAAATTTATCAACACCCAAATATTTATTCTCACGTGTTATTTTCACATCCAAAGTCAGATTAAGACATTAAGTCCATATTAGATGTTTGCTTAACCATCTTAGCCTCTGGATACAAAGGCCACACTTTCCTATTATGAAAGATGTAATAAGATTAAACCTCCTTTGATTTCTGAGGAACTACCATCTCTTGTGTACCTGGATGGAATCCTGTGAAGTTACACTCCATGTACACAAGAACCACCAAACCTGTTCAAACTAATTACACAGTAGTAAAGCTTCCATAATTTTTTTTTGTTTGGTTGGGTTTTTTTACTGTTGCTCTTGGTTATTGTCTGGGTTCTCCTTCAATGGGATTTACAAATTCAGCTTTCACACAGCGACTGTGCAAATATTGGAGCTCCAACAGCCAACAACAAAACCCATACATATAAAGTCTTTTTGCACTTTCAGATATATCCTTCCCTTGGTGGATGGCACTCCATTTAAGAGTGGCTCAGCAAAATTATCCAGGTGATTATTTATATCTATGTAAACATCAGATCCATTCCAAGGAATACTCAAAGGCCACAACATGAGCTGCTTCTGAGAATCCATGTCACATTCACATTTCCTCTGAAAATAGCAACTGCTTCACATTCATGTCACATTCACATTTCCTCTGAAAATAACAACAAAAGAAGTCTGATTTTACTTGATATTATTTTAAGGACCTGCTAATTTGTGATTCGTTGTAAACTCAGAGCCTCAAAATGCTTCATAATCTAAAGAACCTTCCAAGAAGGCAGATTCATATATCAAAGAGAGAAAATACACTCAAGATCAGCCTGATCTGTCTCAAGTGCTGGATGCATGGTTCTGCTGTGCCAGTGGGTTTGAGGGGTTTTACATCAGCTGCTGAAGAAGTCCAGAAAATGCCAACACTGTTCAACGGCAGTACTGTACCTTGGGAGTGCAAGTTGGCATCTTTTTGTTTTTCTTTTCACATGAAGTTACATTTTCCCCCACTGCCTTCAGAAAATATTCAAAGCCCCAAAGCAAATGAAATTGTGTGATATAAATATGATAGAAAAACCTGCAAGCTCAAGAAAGCTGAACCCGTGGTTCTGAGCTGGAAATAAACAGGTTGCACTGCCTCCATCCTTCAGGGAGTAAATTCTAGGAGCAGTGATTTATCTCTGCCCTTCCCTTGCTGGTTTATATGCAGGTGGAATTTATTGACTATGGCTACCCACTCTGGCTACACTTTGTGTCTAGGTAAACTCTGGATCTTAGATATGAAAAAAGATTTAGAAGCGTTTGATTTTTGAGAGGAAAAAAAATTTTTAAAAAATTTTAAAAAATTTTTAAAAAATTAAAAAAAAAAACCCACTCTGGCTACACTTTGTGTCTAGGTAAACTCTGGATCTTAGATATGAAAAAAGATTTAAAAGCAAGTGTTTTTATCTTGATTTTTGAGAGGAAAAAAAATTTTTAAAAAAATGAGGAGAAGGTTTGGCTGCTAAGTCCAGTTTCAAGCATGAGAAGTCTTCAGAAAACAGAAGTTTATCAGACAGATTGTGATTATCAGTGAGCACAGGTAAGGAAGGCAGAACATGAGCCATTGACCACATGGTTTGGGAATGTATAAGCCAGCTCTTGTAAATACACATGCAGATACTCCAGGTTAACACATCACATCCATTTCTTCTAACAGCTGCAAAAAACTTGTTTTAAGCAGCTGTACTGCTATAGGAAAAGGGGAAAAACACTTCCTGGGCCTTCATTGATTTATGGAATTGTTTATCCCAGAAAAAAACCCAGAAGGGACATGAAACATCATCCAGTTCCAACTCCCTGTCATGAGCAGGGACACCTTCCACTATCCCAGGTTGCTCCATGCCCTGTTGAAACTGGCCTTGGACACTTCCAGGGATCCAGGGGCAGCCACAGCTGCTCTGGGCAGCCTGTGCCAGGGCCTCACCACCCCCACAGTTAAGAATGTATCCCTAATATCCCATCTAACCCTGCTCTCTGGCAGTGGGAAACCATTCCCCCTTGTCCTGTCACTTCATGCCTATGTCCAAATTCTGTCTCACCCATAGGGTGAGAAGAACTGCTCTCCAAAGGGACTTGTTCCTCCCCAGTGCCTGCCTGAGACACAAATACGTGCATTCATCTAGGTGAAACCCATCTTACCCAGCTGACTGTGGCTAAAAAGAGGCAGAAGATTATCCAGACATTGCAAATTCCCAATAATACAAGAACATGTCAAGTATTATGTGTGCTTGAGCCTGTCCTCAGATGCCTTTATGCTGGGCTCTCTCACTCTCTGCAGCTACAAAAGGAGCTGTCAAATTAATTGGCTGCCACGATCTGCATCACCCTTGTCTGAGCTGGAGGAATGATGGAGGAACTGTTGTGGAAGGCACAAATCCAAAATAATTGGGAAGAGGGGAGTGATGAGGAATGCATGTATATAGTAAGCCATAAGGGAATCCAGTCAGATTTTCAGCTCAGTGCAGGGGGTGAAGGGGTTTAATTTCCAAGGGGAACAATTTGAGGAGAAAATTGTGCCTGTGCTTGACCCACCTGGGTGGGGAAGAGACAGGGGCACACCAGGTGTCCAGCAAAGCTGCTCTCTTTGTGGGGAGGATGGTGAGTGGGCTGAAATGACAGTGACACCATTTAGTGTGCTTGGAAGAATGGTCCATATGTGCTCCTGGTGGCTTGGGAGGGGCTGCAGTTATATTAGAAACACATCTGCTGCGTGGTAGGAGGAGGAGAAGTGGGTTTGGGAAGCAGTTTCAAGCAGGGCTCTTTCCCCAGCAGTCAGTGATGAGATGCAGTCCTCCTCTGTAGTATCGGCGATATTTTTGCCCAATGTCCGGGAGAAATGATGAGGAGAACTCCATCTTATCAGAAGGCTAATTAATGACTTTATTATACTATATCATTCTATATTGCATTACACTACATCTCAACTGAATCTGCACAAAGCACTCAATTCAACTGCCCAGCAGCTCATGCCTGTCTGCTGACCCACAGTGGGCACACACACACGGCCCCGACAGGCCAGGGAAACAAAACACCATCACTCTGGGTAAACAATCTCCACATTGCATTCTACTTTGGCACAAGACAGCCACAGCAAATGAGATAAGAATTGTTTTGATCATTCTTTCCTCTGCTTCTCTCACTGCTTCTCTCAGGTTCAGAGAATGTGAATCCCACACTGTAGGTGGGAAGTCATGCTGTCCCCATGAGAGTTGAGCTGTAACATCTTCTGCCACCTGCACACGTTGGATTTGAGTGTCCAGGCTTCCTCCTCATTTGCCACTGCTGGTCTTGGGGTCACTGGTACAATCTGGTTTCTTCTGTGGCAAGTCATTATTTTCACAAATTTGCATCTGAATGCCACAAATCCCTGAGAAGTCTTCCCTACAACAGGAAAAACACTTTATTACAGGTGGGAAGAAGCAGGTTTTCTACGGCTTCTTTTATATTTACTATGAAAAAAACAGAGTATTTTTTGCAGAAGACACCATTTAGGGTGTTACTCTTTCCTTTGTCAGTTATTCTTTCATCTGGCATTGGCTATTTCACCTTTGTTCCACCACAGAGCCAGTACAATGTAGATCATTCTTGATACTTTGTCACCTAGCATATTTTCAGAAATCCTATAATGGCCCAGGCAATCTGCACCATGGTTGGTTATCTTCACTAAAGCATGCTTCAAAGCATTATCTATACTTTATATGGCTTTATCCAGCCATGAATTGACAAAAATCCACTTCTAGTGTGGTTTCACAAGGTCCTCCCTTCCCACTTTTCAAGAAAAATCCCCATTCAGCTAAGAAGCAGCAGTGATTAGTAAGGAACATGAAGAGAAAGGATTAGCAAAGAGAGAGCAGAAGAGAATTCCCAAATGAACATCTTGGCTTAACTAGGCAGGGGAGCCTGTGAACAGGAACAGCCTTGGTGCATCTCAGTGTAGTAACAGGAACAGGGAGGAGGCCAGACTGAAATAAATCTGAAGCACAAAGTTGTCATGACACAAGTCTGAAATTAGGGGGATGAAGTTAACAGAATTACGTGGTTGTGGTGGCAGATGCTCCCCCACACTTCCCACAGTTTGGCCAGAGAGAAAAAACTGATTGCATAATCTATCTGAAACAATGTATTTGCATAGTTAACCTTAATTTTCCCACAGAATAATCTCCCACCCATTATTTGAACTGCCACCCTCAGTTCCACAATGGCTGGGACAAAGATTGCTTTTTAGAATTACAGAATCACAGAATGATTTTGGTTGGAAGGGATCTTGAAGTCCATCTCATTCCATCCCCTTGCCATGGGCAGGAACACCTTCCACTATCCCAGGTTGCTCCAAACTCCATCCAACCTGGCCTTGGACACTTCCAAGGATGAGTCCACAACCTCTCTGGGCAACTTGTTCTAAGATTTTTTTATTTCAAAAGCTCTGATTCCTCCTCTTCTTGTTCCAGTATTTAACAGCTGAATCAGACAATCCCAAAATCCTGGCTCATATTTAACATCAAAGAAGATGTCCAGAAATCTAAGGAGTGCAATAGGGAAAGGCTGATCCAGTTGATAACTCTTCCACCTCTAGGGATTTTTGGGTTAGATTTCACATTTTCCTCATTCTGTCCCACTTACCTTATTGGCTGCTTGGTGAGTCACACAAAGGCAGTGGGAACGATAAGCAGAACAAACCAGATAGCTGTAAAACCAGAAAATCAATATGGTTAGCACCTGGAGTTATCTTTGTTATTACATTTACTCCATCTGGGACAAACAGGCAAGATTAGGGATAGGGTCTCATCTTGCCCCTCTGCCCAGAGGCAGGAATTTTTCCATGTTTCCCCATTGCTCCCAGGACCCAATCAACTAGAGATTGACCAGAGTCAAATAACCAGGGACTGCTGATGTTGTGGTCTCTGGAGTAGTTTGCAAAACTCCTCCTTCCCTTCCTTCATCTCACTCCATTATTCCTTCTCACCATAATGTGCACTACAGTTTTCAACAGACTCCAGCTGGAATCAAGAGCCCTTGTGTAAAGTCTTGAGCATGTGCACAGTCAGACTTACTTAATTTCTATTTCATCAGCTAATGGCTGAGTGGAAAATGGGGAAGGGGGAGAAGAAAATCTCTTCAGACTGATCTAAATGCACTGGTGTAGCTGTGAAGAAATGTTCTATTTGCCCACCTTTTTTGTTCCTTGGAAAATGTGAAAAAACCTCAACATTTAAATATTTACATTTTTTCTGCTTTTTTTCCAGTTAAAGTGATTCACTGAATTCACAGAAAGTCTCAGAGAAAAATCTGAAAATGGCTCCATTTAAAAAACCAGACTTTTGGTTGATCTATTGTTTTTTACATTCCTTACAAATATTTGAAAACTTCTTTATAAAAGCCTAAGTGCTTAGAAAATCTGTTTATACTGTCTTTACTAACTTCTCACACAATACATGGGTATACATTTGTCTTGCAGCATATTTAGTAGCTCTTCTAACAGAAAGGGATCTCTTTGGAATAGAACACCAAACTGAAAGACCAACTAGGTGCTCTGGGTGGTGAAGTCTTTAATAAAATGGCATACCTGTCACTGGCAGTGTCCCTGATGAGGAAGGGAAAGAGGACAGAAGATTCAAACCTATGGAGAGAGATAAATTCTTGATTTTTGTATCAATTTGCACTTCTGATGAAGAGCACCAGAGCAGTGATGAGGGCACAGTCAGGCAGAGCCAGCTCATTCCAGCACCAAAGCAGTTCCAAGGGTGGAGTCTGACAGCTTGCCCTCTGCACAGAACACTTTAAAATTGCCATGTTTGTTTCTTGGCCATCAACAGATCTTTCCAGCCTGGACACCAACATATCTGCTGACCTGATACCTGTTAATGTTGGGCATGAAGTGAAGTGGAATGGGATCCATCTAAGATCTTTACTTCATATCAGACTGGAAGGAGACTTTCAAGGTGTCAAGCTAGTACTTGAAAACATGGTTTCAACCAGGACCTGGTTTTGTCCAGAAATGTAAGCTAAACCGTCCCTGGTGCAAGAAATTAATTGAATTTCTCTCTTATCCAGAAAAGGAAGGTCTAAACTTGCCCTAATATGGGGCAAGATTTTTAACAAGGTGTCCTGTAATAGTGGTTTCTCAATAAATTTTTTGTGCTGAATGCTGAAGGAGAACTGAGAAAGTTCCAGCTTCATTACAGACATCAGATCATAACAAATACAAAGGCAACACTTTAGGGGAATAAATATTTGGTGCTTTGTTTGCAAGGACCTGACCTTGCTGAGGTTTGGGAGCATTTTGCAGGAAACTGGAATTACTGTTTCATTGAATTAAAGGCCAAGGGGGCTTCTTTTATTATCCAGTCGCATGTTTTTCACAATCCCAATTTAAAAATTCTAAAATATTTGTAATTTTTAAATAGATGTAATTCCAATAGGCTGTATTATTTTCTAGGACTGGTGTGTTGAAGGGTTGTTGTATCTATCAAAGCAAGAAATTCTTTTATCTGGATAGCACCAAGTGAAATTTTCAATGGTGTTGTGATGGAAGAGGAAAGACCAAACACCAAAATGTGACTTCTGTACCAGGAGCACTCTGAACCAGGCACCACAAAGAAACAGATCTATGAAATAGAGGAGAAAGTGCTGGGCTGATGCTGAAACAGTGTGTGCAGTGGTCTGGTATGGTCACAAGGGCTGGAATGACAAAATGGGCTGAATTTCCCACTGACAGACATGCAATTTACAGATATAAAAGCCACAGCAAACTTTCACAAAGCAGAAATCTGTACATTTTCCTGGAAATGTGTGGAGTTTCTCCCATGAGTAGGGACAACTATTTCATGGTTACTTCCCAAGGGATTGAGTGAAGGAATCTTCACTCTAATGTCTGTGTACATTATCATAATATCAGTGGTAAGTTATATTTTACTCCTAATCAATACTATTTCTTTTGTTGGCTTTAATAAAGGTATCTTAATACAGTTTTATATTGTTATGATCTGCTAGTAGTTATTTAAATTTTATACTGTGTAGTAAGTAATTCTCATGAAAGCCTTTTTTCTGTTACCTCCTGTTCATTTGTCTTGGTAAACAATTCCTTTTTATATCAATATATTTGATTTGCCATCAACAGAACTTGCAGGACAGAGTGATTCCTTAAATTTAAACTGTTGATGAAATCTGAGGCTAAGGAAGGATTTGCCTTCATTTCAACCCCTTTCTGTGAAGGTGTTTAAATACACAAGGGAGTTCTTTCTTCCCCTCAGTGGCAGAACTTCTTTAGTAAATTTTTTGAAGCTCCCACTCTCCCATGACAGCTGGGGGGTCTGAACTCCACATGAGCAGGTCAGGACATTGCTGTGGTGTAATCACAACCATCTTACCTGGCTCAATGGTCTGTGGTGGCCACTGGGTGCTGACATTGGTGCATCTCATATCAAGGGGGGTCCAGAAGGTTTCTCCATTCACCTCCTTGCACGTCCTGCTGCCAAAGGTGGGGGGTCTCTTATCATAACCTGTCTGGCATTTGAAATGTAAGACTTGTCCCACGTAATGCTGTTGGGGCAGCCTTATGGAGGCATGTGGAATAGTCTTGGGAGGACTACAGAAACCTGTGGGAGCACAAGGCAGCACATGGTTAAAGCAGACAGATTTTGCATGCTGCTTTTGTTCCTGAAAATCTTGTGTTCTTAGAAAATATAGACAGGCAGGATATAGCAAGCCTTTCTAATTCTTGGTTAGGATGTCAAATACTCATTTGCTTATACTGTATCATGTTACTCACCCAAGATATTAGAGAAATCGTTTCTTTCCCTTTGTCTGCAAAATAATTAAATATTATTCACCATTTTTACACTACTTCCATGGAAATCACCAGGAGAAGTATTGAATGAGCTCTTATTTACCTTTTTGTTTGGACTCTGAAAGGTCTTCTTGCTTCTGGGGTGCAGTGCTCATTGGTTCTAATTCTGGCTTCTGTGTAAGTTCCAACTCGGTCATGGGAGTCACTGATGACAAATTTTTCTTATCTGTGGAGAAGTTACATTTGTTGAGTTACAGCAGGACAAATATCAGAACAAATTTCCAGAGCACCCAAGCTTCTAGAGGTTGGATAAAACTGTTTCAAGTTCTAACTTAGAAAAATAAGCACAAAAGGTCTTTTGTTAATGCCCAGATTTGTTTTATACCAAGTTACACATGGAGGAGAAACACCTCTATGTATAGAAAAAAACCAACACTCACTCACCTAAGCATTTAAATCGTTTGTATATCCAAACAGCACCCTGCTGTTCAATCTTGCACTGAATTCCTGGGTATGTACTAGCTTCTCTGTCATAGCCAGGGTCACACATATAGTACAGTTTGGTCTCTGGTGGATACATGTCAGCAGTAACATCGGCAAATTCAGGCTCTGGAAGGCGTGGGCATTGTCCTGGTTTAGGGCAAATTTGGAGGAGAATTTCCAAATTAGGGCCCCTCCAGTTAGCAAACTCCCACGTCCCCTCCCCACAACCAGTTTGGGAAGGATTCCTCAGAGAGAAGTGGAAAGAACCTGTTTATTTAACAAGCACAGCACCCCCCAGCACACAAAATGAACAATACCGGATGACACCGCTCTGAAAAAAGATGACAAATTCAGAAAGTCTCTCTTGGGGGTGGTCGCTCTGTTCTCAGTCCCTCTGGCACTGGGGCAGCTGCTGCAGCCACAAGGTGCAAACTCTTGGTGTTTCCCAGGTCCCAGTCCGGAGCAGGTTCGAAATGGTCAGAAAAAGGAAAGGAGAAACAGTCCAGGAAGAAATTGGACAGTTTGGCTAAACTAGCTAATGAGCAAAAGCAAGCAGAAGCGAAGCAAGCAAGAGCGAGAGAGAGCAAAGTGAAAAGCAAAAGCAGAAAAAGCAAAAGCTGCAGTCTCTGTGTCCCGCCAGGCTGATAAGAAAACCAAAACAAAACTTTCCCTCTTCAGAGCCGGTCTGAAAGGTACAGAACATAATATCCAACATTAACAGAACACATGAAGGGGGATACAAGCATCATAACATCACCCTAGGACAGGCATACACCTGCAAGTAGAAAGCCTGAGAATCAGGACAGCCTGGCATTTTACTTTATGAATCAAGAGCTGCCCTATTCTCAATACCAGACATGTCCCCTAGATGGACAACATGAAATATTTTCTTAATGAAGAATCATTATTGTCAACATTTTCTTAATGAAGCTGTTAAGAATTGTTTTGGAAAGCAGCTACCACCACCAGAGTGTGCAGCCCTCAGTCTATGGAGTGAGGCACAATAGATAAAAGTAAGCAATTAAAAGTTGCAATTGTCTATAAGCAAACATTGGGAATGGACATAGACTTTCAGTTCTGTCTGAGGACACCAAAGAGCAGATTACTGTGAAATAAGTTTGCAAACCTAAATATAACTTGTCCCAAAACAAGGATGTGAAATGTTGTGTCATCAGCAAATCATATCGAAATATACTTCTCAATCAGTTGGAACGAATTAAGTTAGATCATTTCAGTGCACTTGAAAAGCCTGCTCAAGCTGAGCTGGGGACCCAGAGGTCAATAAAGGCACTACTTAATGATTATTTAAGGTCTAAAGGCTGAGAAATTAAAAAATCAAATAGTCTAGTTGCACCAGGCCTGGCACGCTGGATCTTTGGGTGCATGATCCGTGGTCCTTTATGCTTATGCACAACAGCAACAGCTATCAGGACTGAAATTTCTTAGTCATCATATTCTCACATTTTCTGCAGCCATAATTAATGCAGCCTTTGGCAGGAATGACTGTCAAAGGCCCTCGAGTCCCCGATAGCTGTTCATCATTTGGTGTCTGCCCTTGACTCCCAAAGTGCTTTCTCCTTGAAAGACCAACAGCAACTCAACCTGTGACTCCCAGTCCCAGCCCTGCAGTGCCCTTTTCTTTCATTTCCTCACTTTGATATTTTCTGCCCTTTTCACTTTACTTTGTCTTGCTGTTTAGTAAATCACAAAGTTTGAAGAAGGCAACAACGAAAGGTATGTGAGCAGTTTAACAGCTAATCTGCATAAGGGTTGTTTTAATCCCCTTGTACCTTTGTGTTATCGAAGGATTCGCCTTGTAAACGACATCAGACTGTGGCTTTGAGAGAAGCGACTGCACCCGAAATAGTTAACCACATGTTTTACCACAGACTGTCAGGGTGATTAAAATTAAAGAGTTATCAGATCAGCAGCAAGTTGAGATCATGTACTCTCACTTTCCCTGAAAGCTAAAAGCTTGTTTCCCTCAAGACTTCAAAAGCCTCTTTGAAGCAGATTGCAGATCTGAATCTCAGCATAAGGCACTCCAACCTACAACTCATTAGTCTCTTCTTAAGAAAACCCACAACATTTAACCAACTCATCATAAAGGGCAAACATTCTTTTAATTGATGATCAGATGTTGGGTTCTTCTGAACTTGCACACATCAGACAGGGATTGTGCAGAAATGGTGCACTTGAGAGAAGGCGAACATCCACATTGCAGCTGGATCACACACAGCCTTTCTTGGATCCAGCCTTTTCATTTCATCCACATTACTCAAGTTCTTGTCTTTTCACATCTAAATAACTGCAGTATCTTCTTTGACCTTTACAACCATATTCCTTTCTCTGATTCAGAAAGAATTTTGGAAGGGGAATTTCCCAGGTCTTGTTGTGACCTTGTGCCTGCCTCCCTTTGACTTTTAACTGCTTCATTGTCACATAAAATACTTTGCTCCCATTTTCAAGAACCATCTCCTTTGCAACCATCATAACCTTTTAAAACACTGGCTTCTCCTCCCATACTTCTCACCAATGTGCTTGATCAAAGTTGTGAATTTTTGGGTTTATTGTTGCACCAGTCCTCACACTGGGAGGAGCTGTGAATGAATACAGATGTTGCAAAATATCCTTTGCCATGATTGCTCTTAATTGTCTCCAAATATCTTATATATCTTCAGAAGTGCTTCTCTTTATGTGGTTTTTGCTCCTCTTTCTAGAAAAAGTAGGCACTTGGCATGTAATCCATGCACCCTCCTGCCAGGCAGTTTTAGGGAGTGAAAAGATCCTCCCTGAGCCTCCTTTTCTCCAGGCTGAGCTCCCCCAGATCCCTCAGCTTCTTCTCATCTGACCTGTGCTCCAGACCCTTCCCCAGCTCCACTACCCTTCTCTGGACCTGTTCCAGCATCTCCATGTCTTTCTTTGGTTTCATGTCATGGCACCTCCTGGAATAGTTTAGGAAGACTGCAGAGAGGATGCAGACCTGGTGAGGTCAGGGCCATAATGACCTCTGGAATGAATTATGCCTAAAACTTCATTCCATCTTTGTGTCCAAGGAAAATACATGGTTTGCCCCTAAAAAAATCAACATCCTTGCTGTGTGAGTGGTAAAATAGCCAAGGTATTGGAAGAATCCAGGGAGAAGGGAATGGCAGGGTAGATTTTTTTTTCTTCACCAGATTTCTGACTTTTTACATTTTTAGGAAAGATTAGTTTTGGTTTTGGTTTTTTTTTTTTTGTTGTTTTGCACCTTGCTGGTAATTAGTCAATCAACTTGTTTGAGTTGGCATGATATGAAAATGTCAATCTTTTCAAAGGCCAGCTCATCTGGGCATAACCTGCCTCACAGCCTGTGGTGTTTTCCACAGCTCAGCTTTCTCTGGATTCTGCATCCCTTCTCAGCTTCTCCAGGGTTGCAATCCTGCTATTACTGGTTTGAAATGCTGCTCTCACATTACCTTGAGATGTCTTGATGTTTGTTTTGCCTCCTCATTTTCCCTCTGCACATATTCCAATTTTTCATCCCCATGACAAGGTGTTGTGTGCCACTTTTTCCTTCTCTTGCTGTCTGATGTCCACTGTTCTCTCATTCATTCATTCACAAAATTCATCAGCACCTACCAATTATTCTCACTTCCCACACCCCAAAAGTGTCCTGGGACTCCATTTCTCTGCACTTGGAGGTAGTAAATGGGCCAAACAGAGAGGTTGGTGTAATTGTGTTCACTGGGATTTAGCCTTTCTGTCAGTTGCAGAATTATGAGAACACTTAGCTCTCCTAAGGCAGATGGGAATTTCTGTGTCTCCCCATATTCATGGATTTTTTGGTGCCTACAGCATTTGTGGAAGTTCTGGAGGTGGTTTCAATTATTATGATGGAGTGGATGGAGACAAACCCTTGGAATTGTGTACTGAGACAATAGGTAGTTATCTGCTGAAGCGCTCCCTAAATTAAGTTTGAAAAGTTTTTTGAGACCTGCAAGCCTTGTCATCTGAGCCAACAGACAGGTGTGAGCTGGGGTGTCTGATGCCATTTGAGATGCCTCAGGGCATCTGGGATTTCCACACGAGCTGTCAGATATCAGACAGGAGATGCTGGAGGGAAAGAAACCCAGTATCTAAATCAGCATCAGCTCTTTCAGATTTCTTCCCTCACATTTCCCAGTCACCTATGTTACTCACACAACCACAAAACTGCTCTTGGTGGGTGAGCTGGCAGTACCAGGCTTCATGAAACCCTCCCTCCTGTTTCTCTTCCATGTCTGAGCTGGCAGAGCAGTGATAGATGAGGCTCTAAAGCAACACCTTTAGTCCACAAGACGTGAGTGCGGAAAATTCGTAACAGGTATTTTTAGTGCTAGGTAAAACACAGAGAGTGAGTCACGCCACACTAACCTAAACTCAGAACTTCCTCTGTCACGTGGCTGTGTGTCACCAGCAGTGACACTATTCTGATCTCAAGTTAAAGCAGCAAGGTGCAAAAATAGGTCAATTTTCCCCTTACTACAAAGGCAGTAGGATGGGATTGGTAGGAAACTGAAGTTTTGGGCAGAAGCAGTGGAAGAAACCAGGCACTGCACACACCTGCCCAGTTCAGAGATGAAGAGCACCTCTCCCCAGAGACAACAACAAATCAAACCAGGTGAAAATGAAGATACTTCCCCAGCTGTGCCTGAAAAGCTAAATCAGCCCTGGGGATTTATGTGCTGTGAGAAACTGGGCTCTCTAAATGGTGCAGTCTCATGAAGATGAAACCGATACAGGCAAAGCGAAGAAATTGATACCAACAACAGGACTGAAATGGTAATGAACTTTTTCTTACTTCAAAACTTATTCCCAAAGGATCCTTTAACAAGCAAGCCTCAGCTCTGCAGGATTCTTTCCCTCATTAATGTCATTTATTGCTTATGTGAATTTGTAAGATGGGAATAGATCCCAGATATGGGGTTGGGGTACAGACCCCAATTTTATTGGGGGGTAACTTGCCTGTGAGATTATAATTAACTGTTCATTACATTATAGAGAGATTATCCTAAAAATAATTTGAGTAATAGTGAGTCTGCAGTATGTGACAGAAATACAATGCAGATAAAATGACCAGGCACAAGTTTTAATACAAAGAGCAATGGAGGAGAGACCAGCCTTAGGGGGATGGAGTGGGTTTGAATATTCCCAGCAGTGGAGAACAAGAATCTCCTGTTCTAAGGATCTGGCAGTTCAGTCCCTGCTGAGTTTGCTGTGCCAGATATCTCTGTTCAAAAAACAATGTAAAATAAAGTAGAATATGAACTGGGACCACAGAAAACTGGGTTTGGGAGAAATACACTTCTCTTACCTCTTGGCTTAATCTTGCTGACCAGCTGTTTGCATTGACCTGGACAGTGGAATCTAAAGCAAAAAAATCCCATATACAGCAAGGCTAGAGCAGGTTGCACAGTGGACTCAGCTTTGTCATGCTAAGCATAATTTCTCCTCAGAAATGTGCCTTCTTAGCTCCTTCTGTGAGAAGTGGAGCTGGGCAAACCTCTCCAGAGACACCTAATTTACCTTCTCCAAAGCAAAGCTTTAAGGTGCTTCTTTCTTTTTATCAGCTGCAGTGGTGGAAGAACCTTCTTCCATGCTCATATTGATAATCAGAGGGTTTACCTGATGTATTGATAGATCTCACACCTGCCCTAGCAGAGAGGCTGGGCTGGGGACTTGAGCTCAAAATGTGGAAGAGGGAACATTAGCAAAGAAGGAAGAGGAAGGAAAACTAGCCTGGGCACAGTGTGCTGCATAGAAAATGCACTAAGTAAAGAATGGGAAACTTTTGTTTTTGTTTCTGGGTGTTTATAACATCCTTGGTTCTGTGGTAAAGCCACAGAGCTCAGACTCTGAATGTAACCACGGCACATGGTTTTGTAGCAGAACACAGAGCCAAGTTTTGAGAATCTCATACATGAAAGCCTTGTTTTGGTGTGTGACACTTCTGCTTAAATAGATAATCTCAGTAACCCACATGTCTTTGATATTTTCATCTAAAAAGAAACAAAAATTGTCTTTTTAAACAACAGCAGAGATACAGATTCTTTCCTTTGTCTGGAATTTTCTCAGTCTTGCTTTTTGTAGGGCTGAAAGGGCAGTAGAGAATATCCTCTCTGAAAATAATTAAATGATCTAACAAGTGTGTGTCCCAGTCTTGGAAAAGTGAAAAAAAAAAGAGGTCTAGTGGGGAAATTTTGATTTCAAATATGTGCTAAGGACTCATCTCACCTGACTTAGGGACTTAGCATGGTCATGGAACTTTGCCCTGGAGATCTCAAAAGTGAAAGGGAAGTTTTCTGCACACGAACATGATTTTTCTGACGTGATGCATGAAGTGTTTTTCCACATAGAGAGGGTTATATATTCTTTATGTGAAGGCTCACACTTTACAAAATAAGAACACCAAGAAAAAGCAGCAGGTGACAGAGTGCTGCTCCCCTGGCAGGGCTGAGGAACAGGGAATCAAGTGAGGAAAGTCATGGAAGAGCTTTGGAAATGTGAGTTTTGGGAGAAGCATTGGAGGAGATGGAGCAAATACTCAGTGAGCCACGTTGTTCCAAAATTCAGGACCAAGGTCAGGGAATGGAATCCGTGGGTAGAAAATATCCAGAAGCTGGGCTTTGAAATAGCATTAATACAACAGGGAGAACAGGGCAGACAAAGCTGAATGTTGAGGAGATAGGGAGACTAAAATGACAACAATCTGAAGGCAACAGTGAGCAAAGTCAGGAGCAGTGGCTCTCTAGAAGTATCTAAAATCTGGATTTTCTTCCGCAGTAAAAGGAAAAAGGACATTAGATCTCACCTCTGATGAGGTGGGAAAACGATTCCCCCAGCTGAAGAAGCAGGTACTGCAGGATCTCTGTCTGTAATATCTGCTTTTTCTCAGTAGGATCACACTTTTAAAACTTTTTTTTTACATTTTTTTACTTGTAGCTGCATATTGAGCCCTTTGTTGCTGAAGGCCACTGTAGCTGAAAGGTTTATGAAGGTATTTGCTCTCTAGTTGACCTTACAATAATCACTTGTCTGTGTCTGACAACTTTAATGTATTCTGCATTGCTTTTCAAATCCATGGGAGCCAGCACTAATATGCAAGTATAATGGGGAAGAAATTCCTCTCATTTACATGACTGAGATCTGGTACCCATCTTGTGTGAATGAAATTCACATGAATGAATTTCTTTCTTTTGTGAGTTTTAATCCTTTCCAAGTTTAGGTTGCAAATCTGTTCAGTGTATCCCTGTATGATGAACAGCAAGATGGAATGGTTGTAGGAGCACAGACCAGCTTTTACCCTGTGTGTGACCCTCACTTCAGGCTTCACCCATGCCTGCAGCTTCTAGGCACTGCTGCTGTGCAGGATAAAGGAGATAAATGTGATGCTCTTCACAGGAAAACCAGCATTTCTCTTCTTTTTGGCACTAAGGTGTAGTTTAATTTTTATTAAATGAATGATCATCCGATGCCTGAGCTTCCCCAGTCCCTCAGGACTTTTCCCTCATAAAACTCTTTGGGAACTATCAGTGAAACTGTTCTGTAAAACAAAGTGTTTTTTATTTCCTTTTCCCTCTAATTATATTTATTCCTGATAGTGCATTTTTACAAACACCATCTAGGGCTGGATGTATTTACAAAACTGAACTTGCAGTGCTGGGACAAGCTGAAAATACTGAGGCAAAATAATAAAGTACTGTATGTGCTGGCCTGGTTGATTTTTGACCAGTTTGACCCAGCCCCTTTCCCTTTGTTTATGTCTATTCCCAGGTCTCTTTGTTGATCCCCTTAAGGAATTAAATCAACAGGTCTTACAGCCACAATGCCTTAGTGTCTCCATGATTAAAAACCCCTAAATTGGTGAAAGGGTGGTGTTTCTACCTTAGCATATTATTTGCAGGGAGAAATTGCAAATATATATATAAATATTATGTTTAAACATTGGGAAAGACATTGAAAATAAGTATAGGAAGATGAGGAAATAAAAGCTTAGAAATACAGTGGGGAATGCAATCCTGTGCATTAATTCATTCAGTGGTGAATAAAATTACATGAAATAGCACAAAATGCAACTGCTCTGAAACCCCTTGATTTTTTTTCCAGAAAACCAGAACGGTTTCTGATAAACGAGAACTGCCAGAAAGAAATTTCATTACATGTTCCAGGCAGAGTAATTCAGAAAGTGTGATCTGGGGAACTTGACTCATCCCAGAAGTGATCCCACTGACACATCTCTGGCTGAGCAGCTCGTGGTGCTGCTCCTGCACGCAGCACCAAACACTTCCCCTCCTGGCCTCTGGTTCCTCACCTGGCAGTGAAAGGAGAAGGTGCAGCATTCACTGGCAAAATAATGAGAATAAAATCACCTGGGGCTTCAAACCTTCCTGAAGGTCCTTCCTGCATTAATCAGTTCAGTCATTAGCAACACACTCTTCCCTTGAGATGGCCAGCCCTGAGGAAAATTCCCAGCCCTGCTAAGGATGATCCATCAGCAGTTACAGCACCAGCATATCTGAGAGCCTGCCTTAGGCTGTTCATACCTCTCAGCCTGGACATCATCATCAGACACAAAAAGAAATATCACATTTATGGAGCGCTGAGAATGGAAGGGATTTTTTTTTCCCCCTGCCTTTGAACAAAGCAGTTTAAATTTAAATACACTAATGCATCACCAGACCATTTCTCAATGCACCCACTTGTCACAATAAATAAGCCAAATCTAAGCAGTGTCACCATTTATAAATGTGTAAAATTATGCTGAATTGGATTAGCTGTCTCCATTCACAGTTTATAGGCACAGCTGATTGAAAGGCATGGCTGAAAAAATATTTCATTTCTATAGTATCCATAGCAAATTTGGATGGTATCTTTTAAATAATAGCATTGACATAAATTTTACCTACAGGGGTGCTGGCATTTCAGTGTCTATTTTTGTTTCCTAAAGTTACAAGCAAAATGGAAAAAGGAAATTCAAAGGGCTGCCTCAGGCTGCTTTGATCTGCCCACTGTTCCAGTGATGGGTTGGAGGATACATATATTAGTCAAACAAAAAAATATCCTCTAAAGCTCTGGATTTTCTGCAGTTGACATTTTGTGGGCACAGAACCCATTTCTCTCATTTCTTTAGAATAATAAATTCCTTAAGCTCCTTAACATCTTTGCTGAAAGGAGTCAGGATGTTCTGACTAAGTTTTGGTGGTTCTAACAGCCACCAAAAAACCAAAATCATTTTTTCCCTCCCCGAAAGGCAAAAAAAGTCTTTTACCTGTCCTGTTCCCCTTCATGAATCCAAACAAGAGCCACATCAAAAGCCACTTGTGCTCCTTGGGACTTGTCCCCATCTTTTCTCCACACCTCTGAGGATGGTGAAGTTTCTCAGAAGGGATGAGCTGTTGCCAGCCAAGCCAAGGAGCTGATTACTGCCTGCTGAGGCTGTCTGGGAGCATCACCCACGTGTGCAGAGAGGGCTTTGGTCAGCAAATCATCGTTTTGCTGGCTCCACAGGAAAGAACAAAGGCTGCTTTCTGTTCAAGTATTAGTCTGTACTCCAGGAAACCAAAGTCAGTGCTCGGCGTGGCAGAGCGTGCCATCGTCTGTAGGAAGTGGTTTGATGTGACTATGGTCACAAGGGTTTTCAGGATGAAGAAGAGACAAGAATGTTGACTTTATGATCAGAAGGTTTGATGTATTATTTTATAATATATGTTACATTAAGACTATACTAAAAAGCAATAGAAAGGAAAAGGTTTCTTCAGAAGCTAGCTAAGCTAAGAATAGACAAGAATGAATAACAAAGATCTGTGTCTCAGACAGAGAGCAAGAGCCAGCTCTGCCATGAGTGGTCAGGAAATCCAAACATCCACAGGAGACCAATCCCAGGTCTACCTGTTGCATTCCACAGCAGCAGATAACCATTGTTTACTTTTGGTTGCTGAAACTGCAGCTTCTCACAAGGGAAAATCCTAAGAAAGGATTTTTCATGAAAGATGTCTGTGACGGTTTGACACATCAGAGCTCCTGGCTCCACAGCTCTTTCACATTTCACTACAGCTGAGGTCAGTAGGAGCAGGAAGATTTTAAAAGGTTTGTTCAGGCCCTCAGCCCCAAATCTGTGGCTGGACAGGTGTTAGAGATGGACCAGGGCTGTGGAATACATGTCTGGTGTGTGACAATGGATCTCAGGCTCTACCTGCAAAGAAAAGGTTCCATGGCTCACCCTTTTGGTTTTTCAGAGGTCTTCTGTTAGTGATGATAAAGCCATTCTGCATTTGGTTTTGATGGAAGCATGGGTGCAGTTTCTCTGAACCACAGTTGAGCTTCTGAAGGATGGACAGCTTGATTAAAAAAAAACAGAACCAAAAAATATGAGGGTGAGGCTGCCAAGTTTGGAAAAGGTTTCCCTTCCCTAAATTGTCTGGGTGTGACATGCTTCAGTGAAATTTTTGCAAATGCCAGTGGAAAACTGGATATTACCAAGGAAGTATCACACTTTATGTAGTTTTTCTTCAGCCATTTACACAGAAATTATTTTCTCTTAGTAACTAGAGAATTAATTGGGATAGACTATAGAAAAAAACAGATTTAAACTATCTGTGGTATTCTATCATGATTATTACATGCTGGGCATTTATTTCTCCTTTATAAATCCTCAATGAATTAAATCTTCTGAACAGGCAAGCTAAGAAATAGATATGATACATTTTTAACTGCTGCTGTGGCAGTATCCATCAGTCTGCCACCTTTCTCCTGATAAATCTCCCTTTGCTCTTTCCATGAGAGATTTTGTGCAGCTTTGTGATGCAGGTGACAAATCCTCCTGCAGGGTTTGCCAGCTGTGAGGCTTTGCCAGGAGATTACTTCTCAAATCCAAATGCAACAGGACATGGAGAACAAGTAAGATTTCTGAAGCAACTGCTGTGGGTACAATGCTCTTCTCACCCTGGGGCTGCTTCATGCTCCCCAGTATTTACTTTGCTTCATTATTTGCCTTTGCTTCAGTATCAAATCATCTTCTGTATTTAACAGTGCAACAGGAAAAGCTCAAGCCAAAGCCCTCTGAAGGACTTAGAGAGTTTCACTCCTGAAAAATCTGTCTGAAAGTCTTAGAACCCAATCCTTCACCTTTTTCCAAGATGCCTGGAGATATGTAACTGCCTGAGCCCTGGGCTGGTAAAACTTATTTATTATATTGCCTGGAAAAAAAATCCTAAACTTTTTATCCTTTCCTTACTAAATACAGGGTCTCTTCTTTTGAGGTGAAGGGATTCACTTGCCAACATCTGCTTCAATTTATTGCTTGGTCTAACTATTTAATTCCACAGCTATTTCAATGATGGACACAGAGATGAGGGATGTTTTCTGCAGTTCTCCATCCAGCTCAACCTTTCATGCAGCCATTTGTTTTCAGGTAGCAAACCTCAGCACAGGTGAGTAACAGCCACTAAGGTTTTATCAGAAAAGGTGAGGTTTTATCCAGGAATAAATGGAAAGCACAGTCAGTTGTACTGGAATGAATGGTGACTTCAGGTGGCTCATTGCTACAAACACAGATTGCATGAGAAAGGCCTGTAAGTCAGCATTTTTCACCTCTTAAAGGTCAGAAAAAACGGTTATGGTTTGTGAGAGGAATTAGCCAGATCAGCTTTGGAAATAGGTCAGTTTGCTGAATGATTCTATGAAAAAAAAAAACAAACAAAAAACAACAACAACAACAAACAAAAAAAACCCCCAAAAAACAAAAACCAAAAAACAAACAAACAAACAAAAAACAAAACAAAACAAAAAACCACAAACCAGAGCAGATTCTGCAAGCAACAGACCCAAAGCAGAGCGAGGTAGAGAAGGGGAGAGTGAGAGCAGAGAGACCCAGCAAGGTGGGAAGGCACCCAGGCACAGATAAAAATTGGGATTTATGAGGAAAAAAATATAACTAGCATTATAATTTAGATGATCAACATGAGATGTTAGCAACAGAATTAGGAGTGACAATAAAGGACAGAAGGTGCTGTGAAAACTCAGTGGGTATCTGGGAAGTGGTGGAGAAAAAGAAAAAAGAAAAAAGGCATCTTGAGAATTAAGGATATCTGTTGCTCCTTGATTTTCCTCCTTTGATTAGCAGAGTTTTGCTGCTCAGGTAAGTCCCTCTGTTTCAGCAGAGAGCTGGGAGGAAAAGAGGCAGTCATGTAGCTCAGGCCACCACAGACAAGATCATAAAGATTATTTTTATTCAATATCACAAGACCACAAGTATAGAAATGGAGTTGCCATGGAGTAAACCACAAACACAGCTACAGCCTTCTTATGTCTAGGTTTAACAAGGTCTTTTTGAAATCCTGTAAGTGCTCTTAAAACTTCTGCACAAACTCATTTGGTCTGGAGGAGTGTCCTTTCCTTAAACTGGTCTCTCAGCCAGCTTGAAGAAAAGGCAACACTGTGATCTTACTGCAGCCCTTCCCAGTTCAAAGTAGCTGCAAACATCTATGTAACTCACAGAAATAAGCAAGCTTTGTGTTTTACTCAACTTTTCTGTTGTTAATCACTCTTACACAAGTCCTGTATTCAAGGGAATAATGTTTCACATGGACCTTCCCAGGGAGGGTGTGGGGGTGGCTCTAGCAGCTACCTAAACTCTGTTAATCAGCATATTGCTTATGCATCCTTAAAATTACAGTAATGCTGGTGGTGAACTCACGTTGTGCACCCACAAGGGCCCTTCCCAACCTCCACAGCAGCATCCAGCCCTGCTGCAGGGCAGAGGTTTGGGGAAGCCCGAGTTATACCACCCCCTCAAAATTACCATCAGAACATTTTCATCCAACCTAACTGTCTATAAAGGTCAAACAGGTTTTAATCGCTTTTTATCTCCCATAGAAGTGAAATGGAGCTGACACGAGGCACACAGATCTCACACCTTAAGTGGAGCATCTTTACCATGTCCATAGAGGGTTCAACTCAAGAGAGAGCTGTATGGTCAGTACAGTTGTTAAAGTTCCTCCTTTAGTCAGTGGAGAGTCAATAAAGGCATCTAGAGAGTGATTCACCTCCTCTTCTGAACATCTACATCCACCAGATGAGTCACTCTTATCTTCTCTCCCTCCCTCCCTTCCATCTGCACACAACTAAACCAGCACAACAGTTCTTTTAGGTAGCCCCAGCTGGATGAGACAAATCCATCCTGAAAATCCGTACTGGGTTTGAAAATGGAATTTAAATTGATTGTTTAGTGACTGAGAACAGTCTTTTCTGCCAAACATCCTGGATATGGGTCATCATGGCTCATATTAACTGTTCCTTTCTTTGATGCTGAGATAAATATGTGAGGAACATTAAAAACTCTTGGATATATTTAGTTTCCATGTAGTGAGTACTGCCACAATGTTCTTAACACACCAATGCCTCGACTGGGTTCCTTAATACTTCCCCATGCAAATACAGCTGAATAGTACAGATAACTTCCTTCCTATTCTTATTTGCAGTCATCATTCCCTTGGCCTGAGCAAAAACAAAAATTGAGGAACTGGTAAATGAAGTGTAATATTGCATGACCATATTTTCTCCTTCTCTCCTTTTTCTTACCAGGAAGTTATAGTGAATCAAGTCTATTTAATCCTGTAAAATGCACAAGTGCACCCTGAAGTGAGCTTCTTACCCAAGATGCCATTTCTTCGCTTTATTTCTGTAATATTTTTTTATATTATCTATAAAGTTATGGAAATATAACCTAGATGAATTATGAGGTGAGTATGAGATTTATTGGAAAAACTCCAAAAAGAAAAGTGCCCTTAAAATGGTTCAAAACTGTGTCAAATGGAAGGTCATATTGAGAGGCACTGATTAACTACCAGAAGAGAAGGATACACTCAGAAGTGGTGCTCAGGTGAGTCTTTGGTTATTCACTATTTCCAGCAGTTCCCTGGATGATGAAGACCAGCTGGCAATGTCACACATGAAAAACTTAAATCTAACCCTGGACTGTACAGCACATGCAAAGAAATCCCTTGTTTTGTGCTGTGACAGTGAAGCCATGGACAGGGTGCTGCCCCTACTTGTGGGCACTGCACACTGAGAAAAGCATGGAGCAACAATGGGAATGAAAAAAAGGTCTAGAAGACATTTTCCAAAAGAAAGAACCAAATAACTTGAAGCTGTCTGAGGAATGATGATGGAGAAGGGGGCAAGGTAAGAGCCTTAGCAGTGGTGATGGAGCTCATCTAGGCATGGACTAGATGAGCCCTCAAATCTCCTTCCAGCACTGGAGTCTAGGGACTATTTAAATAGGGCACATCCCCTCCATTAGAGGCATCTAAAATCAAGAGAGACAAATGTGAGCAAGTTTCAATGCTCAGTTTGGCACATCCCACTATTGCCATCCCACCTTTGGCCCTT